GCAGGGGGAACCCAGGCTCGGAGCTGAGGCTCCTGCCCCAGCACACACCTGCCCACAGGGAGCCGGTGAGGGGGTCACTTCTCGAAATGATGGCGGCTCACGGACCCACCCGCTGCTGGCCACAGGTGCCATGCGGACCCGTGCCCATGAGGCAGGCCAGCGCTATCTCCGCCCTTCGGCACTGGGCCCACTTCCAGGGTGGTGCCTTCGCAGGTGCCCCTACCCAGTTCCTTCCATGCACCTGTGCCAAGGGCCATGGTGTGGCGGGGCCAAGCTCCCACGAATGCAGGTGGTGCTCCCCCAGGCTCCCCAGCCACCCCCTGACGCTCGGCGTCTGCCCCTCTGCTGCCCCAGCGTCAAACACCAATCTCTGTAGTGTCCCTGAATCAGGGTGACTGGGGGCGCAGGGGCAGTGGAATGGGGCCCCAAGGAAGGGATGGATTCCTCTGGAAGATCACGGGAATGCCAACAGCCCCTGGGTACCAACTCTAGTACCAGATGACCACGTGAGGGCCGGGATGCTAGAGGTCAAGTGAGAATGGGGCCACCGAGTGTGGAGGCGGAACCTGGGAAGCAACCTGCCCCAGAGAACAGCTTTTAAATTAATTAGGAGTGTTGGCAGCTTGGGGCAATGGAGGTTCTTGATGAGTTTTGACTTTTAGCACTTCATTAGCCAATGATTTGACCATTTTTTGAAAGCCCGAAGACCCTGCACTGATGATAGTATTTGCAAAAAATAAGCTCTCATTAAAGCAAGATTCATTGCAAAAGCGAGGTGAACTTCCTCCACGGGGTGAGGATTCAGGCGGGGGCTAGCTTGTGAGCAGCAAGCTAATTTCACCCCTAATAAATGTTAAATAGAAAGAACGAAGAGCACGACACTCCCGGAGAGGCAGGTCCTGGGTAGAAACAGTTAGATTTTCAAGAAATTGAAACATCAAAAACCTTAAACGTAAATGCCAGCTGGTGGTTAGCAGTCACGTCATAACCGCCAGTGCGCCTGGAACTAACCCAGTGACTTCAGCTAAGTGTGTTATTACATGAAAGTGGGTTCTGATCAGATCTCAGACAGGTTCACCCACATTCTTAGGATTTTTATGTGAAATAAGCAATGCTCTTTCCAGAGCCCTGGCCTGAGCCAGGCACCAGAAGCCTTTTCTGCAGCAGAGAAAATGCGTAACATGTGGTTCGCATTTACCGCTGGTGACTCACACTCCGGGCCCCCAAGCCTCACTTTTCATAGGCTGCGGCCACATCACAGGGCAGCCTCGTCGAGGGGTGCACCCCCTCACCCCCTCCCGCCCCCACAAAGCCCCAGGTCATGAGTGGCCGGGGCGGCTGCCAGGCTCACACACCCAGAACAGACTCACAAATTACAGTCAATAAAGCTCACACAAGCTCATCCAACACGCATGTGGGAAGGGCTGATGAGGCTGCTGTGTGGCAATTAGACTAAATCATGAGTGGCTGACACGCTCAGCTCCAGTCAGCTCTTCCTAAGCAACCGAAAAAGACTTCTCATCCCCTCCCCCCATCTCCTGCATCGAGGCCACTGTTCTCTTGCCCGTGCTCGGGCACTGAGCCTCAACCCTCTTCACGGAAACCACAGACACCTTCCTGACCACCATTATGGCTACTGGCTAATAAAATGGGGTGCTGGCCCTGCCTCCCTCTTGGGGGGGCCTGAAGGTTGAAGAAGTGGGGAGCTCTCACCCCGGGCTTTGGTCACCTCTGACAGCACTGCCTTCATCAGGGCAGGGGCGGAGGGAGGGCACCCTCCCGGGGACAGGCAGCCACACCCCTCTGCCCGGGGGAGGCTGACCCCAGCCTGAGCCGGGGGTCCTGGCCTGGCACATGCTACCCTAATCTGGTGGGCAGAGCTGGCTCCACCCACTCAGAAGACACTGGGTAAAAGGAGGACGAGGACAAAACGCAGGTGGGCACAGGAGAAAGAGGCACCGTGCCTCCTCGCCCTTCAGCGCCCTCAGCCCACTCAGAGGGGTCTGCACCCAGCACAGGGCCTGCTCCCCCACCCCCCGTGTTCTTCCAAAACAGCCAGACCAACGGGACCCCAACGAGGCCACTGACATGGAGATATTCAATCAGTAGCATGTGATGTCCAAGACCTGTGTAGGCAAAAAAATGTAAAACCATGCGTCCTTCAGCCTGGGACCCAGCAGACCTCCGAGTGAAGTCGAAGACTCAGGATGGTGCTGGTTCCTGCCAGAAGATCTAGACCTCAAAAGTCTCACCTCGAGCCACTCAGCACCACGGTAAACCCAAAAAAAAAAAACGTGTGTACGAAAAATTGCTGGAATTGCAAAAACGTGACTTTTTTTGTGATTTCCACGTGAGAGCAGGCAACACAAGCTCAGCATAAACAGAATAACTCTGTCCTGTTGCTGTAAGAAAGCTGTGGTTCTTCTCAACTTCAGGGAGCTGGCAAGACTGAGTTATGTCAGATCCGCAGACCCAAGCAATGCATTTTTAAGAGTCAGCAACGGTGCCCACCAGGTCCACATGCTCATGGGCACCTTTATGGAAAGGAGGGCAAATCCCAAGTGGATAAAGGAACCGGCTGAAGGAAGCAGTGCAGGCGCTTTGGCACCAGCCCACACACCACAACTCTGGGTCACCAGGACAAAACGCCAGGCTCCTGTAGCAAAGCCAGAAAGGGCTTTGAACCCTCTGGCGAGTTCAGTCCCCACCTTGCAGGAGACGAACCAGGTGTGACCGCACCTGTGATGCTCACAGCAGTGGGAAAGTTCATGGTCCACCTTTATGGCCACTGGCTGATAAAGACTGGGCGCTGGTCCTGCCTCCCCCCACAGAGAGGGGTTTCCTAATCTCCTACTTAATTGCTTAGAAACACCTAACAACAGAGGCTGTTGCCGCATGTCATGGGGGCAACTCCCCGGCTATCAGGGGATCAGAATCCACCCAGCACACCAGCGCTCACCCCACCCTGTGCTTGTTCGGGACAGCTGGAGAAAAGTCCCCAGTGGGCCAGCGCACTCCGGCTTCAACAGCGAGTCTCTGTCACTGATTTGTGAAGTGTGTGCATCAACCAGGCAGTGACTACAACGAAAGAGAGTCTCGCTTATGCCGAGAAACACAGCCCGGCATGTTCCCTCCAGAGCACCGCTGCAGCTCCAGCAGCCCCCACAGCTGCCCTCCGCAGGCGCTGCAGGCGGGGACGTCCCAGGCGGGGACGTCCCTCGGGGAGTCTGAAGCCAGGAGCACGCTGGCAACCATGGCCAAGAGGGTCTCCAGGTGGGCCGGGGGGCGCACAGGTCCTGGAGGGCGAAGCACTGGCGTCCGCTGTCACCCACCCACCCCGGCTCACTATGGGTGCGGGAGGCGCCCCTCCCGCCGCCACACGGTCCCCGGACACCCAGCAAAGGGTGCCGGCTCCTTCTCCACACACTCAGGCCTGGCGGCGGGCGCTGCTTCTGGTTTCGGGCTGCTGAAGCAGAACCCCCCAAGGCCTCGGCGTGGGGGCGCCCGACCCACGAGGCAGGGGCAGCAGGCTGAAGTTTAATCACGCTGCGGGGGCAAGGGCAGCCCCGAAAGAGCTGTCTGCACCGAGGCTCCCAGCCAGCTCCGCCGGCGCCAGCGCTCCCAGCCGACCCTCCCCCAGACCCCCCGCCGCCCGCGGCCAACCTCAGCTCGGTCCGCGCTCTGCCTCCGCCGGCCGCAGCTCCCGCGACCGCCGGCGCCGCCCACGGTTCTCGGGGCGAATCTCCCCGCGCAGCGCCCGTTCCCCGCCCCCCGCACTGAGACTCCGCTGGGGGTGCTGGGGGGTTGTGGTTTCGCAGAGACGGAGACCGGCGGCTGCGCCTCCACCCGGTGGCCCACGCCCGCCCCGAGTCCGCTCAGCCCCAACCTTCTCGGAAAAGAGCTTCGCTTGAAACCACCGCGCGACGCGGCCCCCAGCGGGGAGGGGGCGGGTGGCAGCCGGCGGGTCCCTCCAGCCCAGGGGACCGGGCCGAGAGGCGGGGGCGCCCTGCTGGGTCGGGGAAGCGGGACCCGGGCCCGGGGCTGCCCAGCCTCCCCAGGAGGCGCGTCCTTCCGGGCCCCGCGCGTCTGCGAACTCCAGAACCGGCATCTCCAAGGCTCGCGCGGGGCGGGCTGCGGCCGCGGTGTCCTCGGCGCCCGCGGCTTCGCGTCGGAGCAGCGGCGGTCCCCAGGGCGCGCTCGCGGCGGCACTCGAGTTAAAGAAACTCCTCGGCGGCCACCGCGGGTTGGCCGGGGCGGGGAAGGGGGGGTGGTCGCCCAGCGCAGCTCGCGCCGAAACCAAGGGCGGCCTGACCTTCACGGAGCCGGGGCGGGGGGCCCGGCGGGAGCCGCACTCGGATCCCTGCACAGGTGGCAGCCCGCGGCTCGCCGCCCGCACAGAAGAGGGCCTCGCTGCGGTCCGTGCCGGTGACCGAAACCGCGGCTCCCTCCCGCGGCCGCGGTCGCCCCTTCCCGCTCTGCCCCGGCGCAGGCCAGGCTCCCCCCGGCCCCGGGAGCGCAACTTCCCGAGCCCGCAAGACCCCAAGGAGCGACCCCTGCCTGGCCCCGGGGTGGGGTCACGGGACCGGTGGCCCCGGGGCTCAGACACGAGCGGAGGGAGCGAGTGGGCGGCCGGGCCGGGCCCGGCCCGACCCCGCGCGCTCCAAGCGCGCCTCCCCCGGGCGACCTCCTGGCCAGGGACCGGGACGCCGCAGGCTCTTTTGTTCTAGAACCGGGGGCGGGGGACGGCGGGCCCCGGACTTGGCCTGGAGAGCGGGTCCCCCGAGCCCTGGCCCCGCGCCTGCCCCCGCATGATCCGCCTGCCCCTGAGCGCAGGAGACGGGAGGGGAGGGGCCGGGCCTGGGTCGCACCGCGCACTCACCTCCCCTTCCAGCTGCACAGGTCGCTGGAGTACTGCGCGCCCGCGCCGCCCAGGAGCACGGCCAGCAGCGCGGTCAGCAGCAGCAACGGCGGCGGCAGCGACGGCGGGGGCGGGCCCGGGGCGAGGGGCCGCGACCACAGCTGCCCCGCGCGCCCCCAGGCTGCCTGCGCCGCGCCCCGCATGCTCTGGCTCCGACTCCGCCGCCGGCCCCGCGTCCGCGCCCCGGGAGCAGACCCTGGGGCCGGCGAGGCCAGGCGGGGCGGGGGTGGGGGGTTCGAGTACCGGCGATCACCTCGCGCGCCCCCCGCGCCCCCTGAGTCCCCCGCGCGGCCACCCGCCCATCCTGGCCCGCCTGGGGCCGCCCGCGCCGCTGGAGCCGCTAGAGCCACGCGCAGATCTCCGCGCCCGCCGCCGCCGAGCCTCTGAAGTCGGCGAGTCTGAGTCTGCCCGGCTGGGCTCAGCTGGGGGGTGGGGCCCACGCGCGCCCCGCCCCGCCCCGCCCCGCTCCGCGCCGGAAACTCCTCCCGGGGCGCCAGGCAGGACGCGCAGACACCGAGTCAGCGGCGAATCGGGGGCGCGGGTGCCGGGGCGGGGGCGAGGGCGAGGGCGGGAGGCAGCTCCGGGGCGCGAGCGGGGTCCGGGGGAAAGGGACCGGCCTGAACAGCGGAGTCGGGGCGGGAGGGCGTCGGCAGCAGCGCGTCCCTGGCGGGTGCGAGGCGGAAACGGGGTGGAAACCCGAGATCCCCGAGTACTGGCCGAAGCGAGCCTCGCCGGCCACCTCGATCCCCGCGGAGGCGGCGCCCTGCCCCACCCCGCGGCGACCCCGGCGCGGAGCGAGGCAGGCCCTGGCCCCGCCGGTGCTGGGTCCCCGCGGGGTGGTCCAGGCACCCGGCGCTGCCTAGAGTTCGAGCCTCGGCAGGTCCCACCTCCCTACTGCCGCGGCGGCGGGATCGGGAGGCCCAGCTGTGGGCCCGGCTCCCCCCGCGGAAGGGCCGAGCGCGCGGCCCCTGCACCCGGAGGACGTGCTGCTGCTGCGCCGGTGCCTCTGCTGAGCTCTGCCAGCCTCGCCCTGGATCCGGGGGCCGGATGGTTCTCGGGTTGGGGACCCCCTGCGCGTGGCGGGATGTCAGCAGCACCCTGGCCCTGCACTCTAGACATCGGTAGCGACCCCGACCCAGCTTCGACAACCCAAACTCTCCGCATATTTTGCCAAATCCCCCCACCCATGTCCACAGGACAAGACCTGCGGAGCGTCCCGCTCGTGTGTTCTCAGAGTCGGTGCCTTTCCCAGGTGGTCGCCGCGGCCTCTATGCTCCTGACCCAGCGGGGAGACAGCGGAGACCCCCGCCCGGACTGGGGAGGCCGTACAGACTCGGGCCAGAGAAGGAGGGCTAGAGGGCGCCGCCAGGCAGTCCCCGCTGCGAGCGCGAGCGCAAAGCCGGTTCCTCGGAGCTGCGCGTCAGGGGCCCTGCCCGAGACGCCTAGTCTCAGCTCCAGAGCCGAGCGCAGCACCCAGCGGTGGGAAGGCGTGGCCTTGTCCCCTCTTTCCCAGCCAAGATGCCTTCCAGGAGGACTGGCAAACCACTGTGGATGTCTGAACAACTGGGCTGTGACCACCGGAGCAGGTGGGGAGAGGATCTGAGAACTGAGTCTGCAGGGGCTGAAGTCACCAGCAAAGGCGGGTGGGGCCAGACCTGCCCCTCAGGAGAGCTGGGACGAGGCTGGGGGCCTGAAGAACCGGAAGATGGCAAAGTGACGGCTGAAGGTAGTTTCATTGGAAGGATCTGTTTGGAGTGGCCCCGGAAATGCGCACTTCAGCATCCACCCGTCAAAAGCCTGGAGCCAGGACTGCCAAGCACATAAGGTGACATCACTTGAGACTCAAGGTCGGGTTGAGGTTTGGGGAACACACCTGTGCATTTCAGAGCTTGAGGACTTCCCCCTCCCACCACCTGCTCTAGGACTGTATCTTCCCCCACCCCCATCACTGCAGGTACCAGGATGCCCAAGCTGGTGTGGACAGGGACCTGCGGCTTCACACCTGCACACAGCAACCACTTTCCTGCCCTCCAAGCATAAGAAAGCAGCCCCGCCAGGCCCCACACACCCTTGCAGGGGCAGTGCTGGGACCTCCTGAGTTATGGATTTGGACGTTGGGAACACACAACCTGCCATGACCTGCTCAGGGTCTCAGAGCCCCCGGTGGCCACTAGACCAAAGGGCAGAAGCCACCGCTGGAGAAGCAGGGGCTGATTCCAGCCGAGGCTCAGGCAGAGATCTGCCCAGCTGGCAGGCTGCCCAGCCTCCTGTGCCCAGAGGGCTGGCCTAAGACTGGGGTCGCATGATGGTGAGTATGGGCCCCTAGTGCACTTTTTAAAACCCATAGATAATACAGCACAAGAGTGAATCCGGGTGGAGACTTCAGACGTTAATAACAGCGTATCAGTATTGGTTCTTTGACTGTCACACACCTACGCCCTAATAAGGGAAGGTCATTGCAGGAGAAGCTGGGTGGGGGAAGGGTTGTAGGGGACCTCTACCATCTGCTTGGTTTTCCTGTAAACCTAAAACATTAAGTCTGAATTAAAACAACAAAACAAACTAGGGTAAGAATGCTTGCTGGGCAGTGTTCTTGGAAGAAACTAATCTATCTTAGGAAAGGAGCCTGGCCCTCGCTTCCAGGGGCACAGGTTCTTCCCTGGGGCTGTGGTTCCCCAAGCTGTTCTCTTGGGGGAGTTTGTGCCCCAGAGACGTTGGGTCCTCCTGGGCACCTCTGCTGACCCCTGTCCTGCCCAGCAAAGCCACCTGCAGATGAGCCATCCCCTGAGATGGGGTTCTTGGTGTTGGGAGGTATCAGGCTCCTAGAGGGTGCAGGCTGAGGGAGTCGAGCTGTCTGGGGTGACCTCCAACCACTGCCCCTTGCACCTCCAGGCCCTGAGGCGCTATGAACCAAAAGGATCCCAGCCGGTTGTGTGTAGCCCTCCCTGTGGTCCTCTGGGAGGCTCTTCAAGGAAAGAGCCTTGGGTGTGTCTGTCCCTGGATGTTTGGGAAGGGACTGCTTCCCAGTGAACATTTCACAGGGTTTGACCCGGGAAGAGAGCATCGTCCTCCCACCCTGTCGTGGGAAGGAGCTTCACAGCTTTGTGTGAAGTCCCTGCCCCCGTTGGAACGCTGAGGCTGAGCCATGGAATCGGAGAGCTCCGGAACCCACTGGGATCACGCCTGCCCATTCCCTATACGGGCCGGCCCTACACCCTGGAAGATGGCAGCTAAGGGGTCTGGGCCGGGGGGCCTGTTGCCCAACCGTAGGTCTGTACCAACCCTCTCTCCCTCATCCATCCATTCCCTCAAGGAACAGCTATCAGGTACCTCCTGGGCAGATTTCTGTGATAAACAGTTCTGGGTGCAGCCCCTGGACAGCCCTTCTACGCCCCACCAGAGTCTGAGGCCTCAGAAAGCAGGACGTGGCCTTCCACATCTGAGGACCACAACTCACTGTGAAGGTCAAATGACATCTGCAGGCTCACCTTTGGGTTTTGGACCCAGGTGGGGGGCTGTGGGACTGGACCCCTTTCTCAGTCTTTCCAAATGTAGGTGTCCGCAGGCCCTGTGGGGTGGTGGACGGACGTGGCTCAGATATCAGCCCCCTGGCTCTGGGTCACACACACAGTGGGGTTAGCGTCTGTTTCTGAGCCTCAGTTACCTGCAAAGTGGGCCTGTTCCTGATTCTCAGGGTGTTGTAGGGTTTGTGATGTCAGGATTCAATGCCACATCTCCAGGAGGGAGCTGATTAGCCTTCATTCAAGGGCACCACCGGGCTATCATTGGGGCTTGGGGTCTCACGGGGCAGTGGGGGGAACCCCCTCCACCATCCTCGCCACAGCTGAGTTCTTTGAGCCACTGACACAGCCCAGTGGACTGTTAGCACTTTAATTTTCTGCCCAGTCTTGAGATTTTAGAAGTCTGTTGACCACCAATGTGCTCTCACCTGAATCCTCTCGCTAAAGAAGAGTTCCTTCCGAGAAGCTGGACTCCTCCAGAAAAGCATTATGAGTTTTCCCCAAACTCATCCAGGAAATGCTCTCTTTAAGCATTTGAAAAGTACTTAAGAACACCAGCCAGTCACTGCCATTCCTGTGAGAGCAGCTGCCCCGGGGCCTGCTCGGCCGCCACCTCCCAAGCCACTTGTCACTTATTTCCCTCCCAGGCCATTGTCGGCCTTCCCAGGAGACGTAATTACCGTAATTGAGGCTGAATGATAGGTGGAGAGCCTCTGCTTGTAGCTTAACGTTCAGCAGCTTCAACGAGCAACGTGTAATTACCGCAGGGACAGCCATGGACACCGGCCAGCCTCCACCTGATAACTGCAGTGTGTAATTCTCCCCTAACCCCTCCTTAACCTAATTTGCTGCCCTGTCTTGCTGTCTGTGCATCAGAGAAAAGTGGGAGGGGAGAGTTTCCTCAAGTTGGATACAAGTCCAGGCCGATCTGGCCGGCCGTGTGGCCTTGGGTGCTGCCCACCCCAGGTTGGCCTGGGGGAGAGAGGCCGCCCGCCGCCGGCTCAGCAGTGAGAGGCAACACGCGGTGCGTTGACCTCACACTGTCCTAGCTGCTGTTTGCCGCAGCATCTCACCCTGCGCCCCGCCAGGAACCGACCAGGGGTGGTGAGCTGTAGTGACTCGGCCATCTCAGGCACGGAGCCCACACAGGGAAGGAGGGGTCGCCGGCCACCACAGGGGGGTGTCAGGAGGGGCCATCCGCAGTGCAAGGTGGATTTGTACACGGAGGTGGACATCTGAGTGGACCCTGGACACGGCCAGTCAGACATGCTTAGAAGCAGGACTGTGAGCCCAGTGACCACGTGCTAGGGTCTGGCCGGCCACACACAACAGGTCTGCGGTCCCCAGGGACGTCAGCTGAGGGCCCCAGCCCACTCATTTTGGAAGCCGCTCACAGCAGAGAAGGAATTGGCATCCTCACTGCCTCGGGGGAGAGGGAGGGTCCTACATGCTGACTACCTAAAGCCTGAACCTCAAAAGCGTTGAAGGCGGGCCAGGTGCGGTGGCTCATGCCGGTAATCCCAGCGCTTTGGGATGCCAAGGAGGGCGGATCACCTGAGGTGGGAAGTTTGAGACCAACCTGACCAACATGGTGAAACTCCGTCTCTACTAAAAATACAAAATTAGCCGGGTGTGGTGGTGCATGCCTGTAATCCCAGCTACTTGGGAGGCCGAGGCAGGAGAATCGCTTGAACCCGGGAAGCAGAGATTGCAGCAAGCCGAGATCTCACCACTGCACTCCAGCCTGGGCAACAAGAGTGAAATTCTGGCTTACAAAAACAGAAACAAAACACAAAAACCACGTTGAAGGTGCAGCGTGCAGGGCACCCACACATGCTCCCGCTCCGGCT